AAGATCAAACGATCACGAGGGTTATCCTCGCGAAGGTTAAACATCGCAAGGGTTATGCCTTCTTAGGATCAAACGTCGCAAGGGTCAAACAACGGAAGCAATCCTTTAATCTGGAGGGTGAAACTAATAAGAGGGTCAACAGGGGACGCCAGGCGGTACAATTACAAGGTTCCAACGGTCATAAAGTTTAAACAAAAAAAGCAAGTAGGTTCGCAAGGGTCAAACAGGTCACTAGGTCACGGCCTAGTTATCCTGATTGACCCTTATGATTTACCTACTTTGTGATTGTTTCTTGATCGTTCGTGATTTTCCTGCTTGCCTGCGTCTTAATTTTAACTCTTGTGATTTTTCAACTTATCTCTCCTGTAGGCAGAACAATGACAAGGGTGGAATGATCATGAATTAAGAAAAAATAATCTGAAACTATTCCGTTTGGTCTTTGTTGCAACAGCTTATGATCATTTAACGCTCGCAAGTTATGATTGTGACGTTTGACCCTCGCAAGTTATGATTGTCACGTTTGACCCTTGCGAGGTATAACCTCAGTGGGTATGATTTTTTCGAATTTTGACCCTTGTAACTCGGACAGGCGGTATTCTCGGTAAAAATCTCCCGGTTCCCCAAGGTGCTAATAGATGGCGCCACATAGGTTTTTGACAGGTCAAAAAGCCCACAACTCGCCCGGGTAATTCACCTACTTTATGACCGGTCAAAAACTATGTAATTTACCTAAGGTAATTTACTTGCCCAACCCTGCTGCCGAGTTACTCACGCACCCGACTCACATTTACCGACAATTCGACCGGGACGCCGCCTTTCCCGTGGGGTACCAACTAACATTTTTGGAGTCAGTCAAACCCCCCGATCCGGGCCTCTACTCAGGTCTATCCTCTTTGATAATTACAATCAAATTTCTTCTTGAACATCATTCAGAGAGTAAAGTGCTGGAATTCCATGTTTGGTGATACTCTGTTAAAGGTGTGTGCCAACACTGCTATAATTTTTTTAATTCAGTTCACTCGGTAGTTTAATTAATGTGCTGTTTATATTATCAATACAATTTCGCGCTTAGAACATCGTCACCTCATGTTTTTAGCACCGAATAAAAAATTGAAACTTGAAATGACAGTTTGACTTCTCCATCCTTTCTTTTAAAATTCATTTAAAATTCACGTTAATGGTTCAGATAATATTACGTGAATATCATCATTTTTGTTCTCTGCTGTTATGGAAAATTGAGTCATAGCTTTTTATTCATAATAGAATTTTTTAATTTAGATATTATTATTACTCGTTCAAAGTAAAAAAATTGATCATCACTTTCACTGTATTGCATTCAGATTCTCCTATACTTAACGTAAAAAATGTCAGATAATCTGATAATTCTGACTATTGATTCTAATCAACGTTATTTGGAGAAAATTTTAGTAAACTCAACATTAAGGAAATTGAATCATTCTATTTTATTCCTCTGACCTAAATGATTTGGATAATTATAATTGGTTTATCAATTGAAAATGCAGAGAAATTGGGTACAGAATATTCATGTCTTGAATCAGAATTTAAAAGTAACTTTCTATCTTCACGCTGTTAAGAAATATTGAATACCGTTTAATTTTCAGTAGAATTT